TATTATTCCATACGTACACCCTAAAACGTGATCTCATTTTGTGTGTCCCAACTTTTCTGCCATATGTCAAGATCTACAAAAAATCAAAGATTTTATAACTTACGTCTTCATCAACAAGTGTTTCTATATTTTAAGTACGAATTTTAACGTAAAAATATTCAAAATAATTTCATAGTCCAATCAAATATTAAAAATACCATATTTCTTTAAATGTTACTTATGGTGGATATTTCAAATTTTAATTACAGATCAAAATAAAGGAAAAGTCTCATAAACTTTCATTAATTTTATGGTCTGTTGCTGTGCCTCGTTTCGAAGAAAATTTTAACTTTAAGAATTTGTGCGGCGAGGCTAACTGGCACGTTCACGTAAAGACAGAAACGTCGGGAAAAAGTTTATCGATCACAACAATGCTCGAGTATCTCGAAAGTTTCAACAGTTTATTGCTCTACAGTTTTGTCTTTTAAGTTAGAACATTTTTTCCTGATTAAAAATATATACAGCTTGCCAGCACTATATCAGAATTACTACTACTTGAGACCATGTGTGGTCATGGGTAACGTCGGATTCAAGGAATACATTCACAATATTTCTCAGTCAGGATATCATCGATCAACAAAGCTCTTGTCGTCCAAACAATGTTCTCGCAACGATTCCAATTTTCAGAATGATTCAGATTCTCTAGAAAGTCGCTTGGCGGCGCTCGTGTTCTAATTATGACTTATGTTACTCACCCATTATATAGCTTTTTAATGGTGAAAATTTTTTGGGGTCTTACCAGTAGTTTTTGAGTTGTTTTAATACAGACAAACACCCGAAAATACAAATTTCCGAGTATGGATAAACATAATATTTGAAAATAAAATATATCTACTTATTTCAAAGATACTTTGGTAATACAAAGAAATGTCGCCAATGGAGCTAACAAATAAATTAGCGATATAACAAATACGTAACTAACATGATTACACAATAATCTTGCTAACATTATAAATGTGAAAGCTTAGACGAATGGATGGATGTTTATTAGCAAATATCTCCAGAACGTCTCAAAGGATGTCAATGAAATTTGACACACATGTAGAACGTAGTCTACAAAACATAGGCTTTTAAACTTTTTTATTCCCACGGCTGGAGTCGGGGACGACAACTAGTATATTTTATAATCGAATAAAAATAGCACTTTAAAAACCCATCAATATCCTTCCTCCGTCATTTGAAATATTCTAAAATTCAAAACACCCCGCCCCAAGATAAATATTTGTCGTGTCAAAAAGAAAACGAATTAAAATTGAAAAGGGTTACTTAAAAAGTTAATTGTTTACATTCCTTACCTTTATGTATAAAGGAATAAGTAGTTAATAATAAAAAATGGTTATAGACGGAATACGAAACTTCTAGAGGACTGGTATTCAGATGTCACCTGCAGTGTTATATCTTCAGAATATATGACGGTACTTTTTGAAAAGTTTATCTTCATAATTTATGGTGAAAGTTGTTTTCACAAAGCATACTTTTATTGTATTCTATACTAGCTGTTGCTCGCGTCTTCGTCCGCGCGGTAATAAATTTAGTAAATATAGACCATGTTACTTAGTGCTAACGTAATTATTAATCTTAAATCTATATTTAATATTATTTTATTTATTTAATAATAAAGATTTTATTTAATAATAAAGCGTAAACACACACTTCTTTGTTGCCTAAGATGACAGCAATCACAGCATGTTTTTAAATATTTTTTTTTTAATAAAAAAGCCCTACACTTACTTCACCCTTGAGGCTATATATTTTAAGCCATTAAACTTAGGGGGTAAATATTTTGGATAGAGACCTTAATGTGGGAAGAGTTTGACATCATGTTGTGTCATTTCGACATTTGCAATTAATAATTTGACAAATGTGAATGATGAAATGAAATTTTTGTAATTCTATGCGGATGAAGTCGCATGGGAACAGCTAGTTTAAAATCGATCCTTTAGTGTTTGAATTATATCAAAACTTTTCAAACACAAATATACAAATCCTTGAATATATATTAAACCTATTCAAATTATTTCTCTCTTATAATTTTACTAATATCATAAATGCGAAGTTTATTTGGATGGATCATTGGTTTTAAAAATGTTTGTTGACTCGTAATTATTATTATATTATTATTATTAATTCCACAACGGCTTACAGAATCTGAACGATATTATAAGAAAACATCAATTTAAATGTATGCTAGGCACACAGTTTGTTTTTTAATTCACTGGAGTTTTAATAAAATAGTTTATGTTTCTTAAAACATAAAATCACATAATTTTAATCATACTAATGTTATAAATCCGAAATGGATGGATAGATGTTTGTTAGAGTTTGTAGCCTAAACGATTGGACGTATATCGATGAAATTTGGTATAGATGTAGAGGATAGTCTGGCTACACCTAGGTTACTTTGTTTTTTTTTTAATCCCATGCAGACGGAGTCGCGAGCAAAAGATAGTTAGACAAAAATGGCTACAAAATTATAGATATATTACAAGACTTTAAATTATTAAAAAGTAAATAGCTAGATAACAAGATCTTAGAAGTTCATTTCGAATAATTTACATCGCAAGTCGCTCGTGACGAAGGTAAAGCTTTCAATTTAAATACATTACGTACAAACTCAGCAAAACGGAATAGTTTCCCGGTAGTTTGAATCAAAACGGGTTGAGCTAAGCACGTAGATGAGAGTACTTGATGCAAATTGAGCTACTAATTATCTATGTTGATGAATTGATTTTATAAGGCCTATTACTTTTAGTGTTGATAGTTTTAATAGAAAATTTAAAAGTTAAAATTGGGACTATCAGAACAGAGCGCTTGTAGCAGGCTGAAAATGCCTTTAAACAAGTATTTTGTCTCCTAGGATATTCAATAATATAGAATTACTAAATTTCGCTCGCGTCTCCGTCCGCGAGGAATTATAAAAACAAAAGTAAGTACCCTATGTGTTCTCTCAGCGTATCCACTACGTCTGTGCCAAATTTCATCAAGATCTTCAGAACCGTTTAGGCTACGAACTTTAACAAACATCCATCACAGTAGTTAGATAAATCAGGTTATAAAATTACCATAGCATTTGTACAGTTCTAAACAAACACAGAAATGTATAAAATTAAAACCGCATGAGTTTACTCTTTGTCTTTTTTTTATAAAATTCTAATGTATTTTTAACAGTAAGCATATCATTTTTAGTTAACTAACAAAACTTATTAATAAGCAAAGTAAATAAACTCACAACAAAGCAATAGCTAAGTTTATATTAAAATAATTCGGAACACTTGTTCCAGCTTATGGAGGCGGAGAAAATTTAATTAAGTTTACGATAATATACTTGACAATAGAACTATATTTTATTTTTAGAGTACCTATGCTAATAGTCCTTGAATAACCTTAAAACGAATGATGTACGTATGTTCGTTTATGTTATTCTGATGAATGAAAACATCGTGATGCAACTTGCATGTTTTAAATTTCAAGAAACATGTTAACCCGCACTGTGCCTATAGACTATGGTCTATTCACACCTATATTAGGGAAGGATCCTTTGGTGAAGATTTATTATAAGCTGAAGATGATTAATGAACTGGATTAGGAGAGTGTCTTTTTTAGATTTTAAGGTAGCAAACGAGCAAGCGGCCACCTGAATCCATCGAAATGGTAACCACCACTGTCTATAAACATCCGGATGCAGATGGGTTGCTTATCCTTGATTGACGGTGAAGGAGACCCACATAAAACATTTCCCCTTCCTTTCGTCTCCTCCATTGTCAAATTCAATTTTCATACCCATCTTTTCCTTTGAAGAAAAGGAAAGGGAAAGTGACTAAAATTACTACTATGTACTTCTGCACTGATGTGTATTTGTTTTTACCAACTGGCATGGCATATCTAGCTGCGTTATTGGGATGTCGTCTCAACGCTTCGCTCAACTTCCTTCCCCATTCCATTCACTCCCTCTATCTTAAGGGACGAACAAATAGTGAAGTAATGAGTCACAATATTTATAGAGCCAAGTGTATCCTTGAAAATTAGCTATTCTTTTGTTTTACTTGTAATAGTAAGATTTATTATGAAAGTTTTAAAACATTTTGATCGTAAAATATACATTACCATATTCAGTATCATTGTACATGAAACCACAAATAAGTAATAACTTTTACTTGTTTAAGTCGTAAAAACTTGAATCTTGGCTAGACGTAGTTACTCGTAACTTAAGGGTTTGGAAAATAAAAGTGATAATACTTGTAAATTACACTTTTATTGACTTTTCTTATTTTAAAATAAAAAATATTACTATGGCACATAAAAAAATAAAAAATGTCATCTTAATAATACTTAATAATTATACAAAATGTTTAAAATTAGCATTAATATCTTAAATAAATGCACACATTTATTTACCGTATTTAAGTTATGTCTATTACAATATAGTAAATAATAAAGCAATCTGAAACTAAGCGGTAAATATGAACTTCTTGAATCATAACATATTGATAAAGTTTATAGTTTTTTTGATTATTCCAACTGAAGCATCTAAGGCAGTGATTCTCAACCACAGTGCCGCGGCACTTTTATGTGCCGCCAAATTTCAAAAGTGTGCCGCTAAATTTTGCATATTTTTATCATAAACTATTTATGCAGTGTGTTGTCGTTAGTAAAATATTTTTATCTTTTTCTTTGTGTGCCGCCAAATTTTGAAATCGCTAAATATGTGCCGCAACAAAAAATAAAGGTTGAGAATCACTGATCTCAGATTACATTATTACCTTAGGTATTTTGTTTTAAAACACATTTACTTAATAATTAATAGTAAAATAAATAAACATTACACGGGCTAAATGACTCGTTCTCTATTCTTAGATGTTTTTACTAAAATACTAGAGACGCCGTTCATAATCATACTTGTTAAATTCCGAGGCTTATATATAACACCACACTTTAAATAACATCACATGCTTTACTTTTTAATTAAGTCCAATACTCAAAAATCATTTATTTAAATATCAGATTGACTATCTAGTAATCTTTCATAAGCAAGACGTCGTCTTGATCTGAAACAATACAATAATAGTGAAACATTTCAATAGGAAGAAAAACTCTAAGTGACAGAGGCAAATGTACTAAAACATTTTAAATCTGGTGGACGAAAACTCTTGGTCACCTTATGTATCCTTAGTTGTTGCTCGCGACTTTCTGCGTAGAATTAAATTAAAGAAACATAGAAGATAGATAGATAGATAGAAGATACTGAGTATTAATGCATCTTTTTTACGTTAAAATAAATTTAAAATTTATTCAGTAGTTATTCAGTTATTACAATACATACAAAGGTACAAATCAAAACTTTATTTTTATATTATTAGTGTCGATTTAGATGAATTTCTTAATTAACAATATTTTGACTTATACAAATGTTTCGGCTGTAGAAACTCATATTTAGTATTCATGTTTACTTACATATGCCTCTGACGTCTCACAACGTTAGGTCGTACTTCGACACATAATACGATAAGTTTCTTATCGCATGTGTACCTAAAAACATAATTATTCAATTATAGACACCAAACTTAATTTATAGAATTCTACGGCATTTCAGATACTATCTCTCCTATTTTCTTACATATAATAAAGTTTTTTTTTTTAATTTTTAACCAAGTAATGTATTAAAGCAATGAAGAAGTGGTTCAAAATTATTTATTTTTGCTTGTTTATTAAGTATATATCCTTTGAATATGATTCCAAAGCTTTACCTATTATCAAAAATGTCACTTACTTTTCATGTATTGCTAGTTTATTGTCATTTATTTTAGCAGCACTACCGAAATATTTAGGACTATCTGTTTGCCATTCACGACAAAAATATTTCGGCGATCGGACTCCGAGTGACGTTCCTCCATGCCATGCAGCTTTGATAGCCCTGAGAATATAACTAATTATTATATCAAAATTACATTTAACGTTTCACATGAAATTGGTTAAAACTCACCAAGTAGGATCAATGAGTACATTTTTTCCGCTAAAACTGTAAATATCCGATTTAAAAGCAACAGTTCCGGAGTCGTTGAACATATCGATCCACGAATCGAAAAGGAGTTGCTGATGAATATTAAAAACTGCTACATCTTTGTCTGCAGTCTTGAGAATAGACTTCAAATCTTCCACCCTGCGAAAGGAAATTTACAAAGGAATATACATTTTATACAGTTTCACGATGATATTATAGATCATTAAAATTATAGAGACAAATTCTAGAAGGTTTATTTCGATTTAACTCTTAACTCGTGGAATTTGTCCCCATTATCGAATTTTTCATTTGATAATGGGGACAAATAAACAGAGAAAATAATTACTTACTTGTTTGCAAGAAAAGCAGCAAATGTTCCTGTAAATCCAGCTTTCCTTGATTGAATGTGACATTCCTGATCAACGGTCTTTCGGCCTGTTCGATTTGTTCCTGTCTCCATGTTTCCTGCATAGGGCTCGTCAAGTGCTGCTAACCGAATCTAGAACAAATGTTCATATTTAAATAACACAAGCTTAGATTTAACACGACGTGTCTGATGAGAATACTGATCAATATGATGATCATGATGATGGACCAGGCTTTACTGGTCAGGAAGTAAGGGTAGATGTTATTTACGCAATGTAAATAATTGTGCCTTATCGTGACAAGCAATAAGACAACAGCTGAAGTAAAACAGTACTTTACTAATCAATAAATCAGGATATTAAAGAAATCGTCAGCGAAACTAATGTGTTATTGAATAAAACTAAGTAACTATCACTTACGAAGTTTTTTCTTCGCCTTTCATTATGATTTGTACGCAAAGAGGCCTGTAAACAAATATGATCATTAACATCAGACAGTTACCTTAAACTAACAAACAAGCTTAACAAAGTAATAACATAAAAAAAACAATAAAAACACTTGATTTTCTGAATTTAGTACTATGTAAATTATGACTACGATATATTTAGTGGATGTAGTTAAGCAAAAAGATATATGTAGTAGCGTTAGTCTTTAATTCGATTATAATTTTATAACAGCATAGATACTTACTACTTTTGATTTAGGTATTCTCTCTTGGTATAACGAACCCATCTGTAAGTTAGGTAAATTTGGATAAAAAAGAAGTTTCTTGCAATATTTTATAAATATGGAACAGTAAAATTACCATACCACTACATACTGCCAGCCACGTTCAACTCTTAACAATAATACTCTTTCTTCCAAAACATAAGCGAGAGTCCCCACCGGTGTTGACCTAGTTCTCTATAAGGGATTAGAAATTAACATGAATTGAAAATACATCAAGTTTACAATTCCTCAAGCAATCTCGAAAATAAAATTTACTTACTCTTTTTAATCCCTTTGATGTTTTGTAAATGATTGTTTCCATTTTATGAAAAACTTCATCATCATCTGCATTATTTACTATAAAAAAGATTTATTTGTAAAATAAATTGTTAAGAGTAAAATACATATTTAGGTTTTTGAAAAACTCATTTACCTGGGTAATCACTAAAGCTATACAAAGTCTTCGCAGATACAATTCCGCCAGGCTCGCCTTTGGGGCCAGTCACGGATATACCGGGTGAACCGGGCGAACCGGGTGTACCCGGAGGACCCGGTGGACCCGGGGACCCTGGTGGACCGGGTGGTCCTGGCACAGGTACACTATCTTCAGTCTTCTGACATATACCGGGAGGGCCAATTTTTCCGGGCTCTCCTGTAGGTCCTAGCGGACCTCGATCTCCTTTTTCACCTTTAAGCTAACGTACGAAATAGATATTAATCAATCGTTAACTAAATCTAATTCACGTTGAAAATGATGCTATGAAAATGGAATTATCATAATGCAATAGTAGCAAAAGCAAATCATTTTTACCTGATATACAGCAAATAATAAACAAAATATTCAATACCTATAGTACCTTTTCCAGGTTAATCTCTGGTATTTCGCCTCTATCACCCTTTTCACCTCTTATTCCCGCTGCTCCCGTATTGCCTTTAGGACCCTTTAAATCAAAAAGCTTATAAAGATGCTAATAAGGTTATACTAATAATTTTCATTTCTGAATGTGCTTTGCTTACCATTGGTCCAGGAGCACCTGAATCACCTTTCGAACCTTTATGACCAATTGGACCCACTGAGCCCTTTGCCCCGTTATGTCCTGCATATCCACGAGATCCAGGCTTGCCTGTTTGGCCACGATCTCCTTTAGGACCCTAAAAATCTCAATAATATAAATCACAATTGAAATCTGTAGCTTAAACTATAAAATTAGTGAGTTACCTTCAAACGGCTCAGAGCAGACATTGATACTACCCCCGGTGGGCCAGTTCCTCCTTTCTCGCCTTTAATTCCTTTCGGTCCAGTCGATCCTGTATCACCTTTTTCTCCTGGATCACCACGACGACCGGTTGCTCCAGGAATACCGGCAGTACCATTAAGTCCTTTATCACCTTTATTGCCCTTAAAACAACGTAATATTTCTATAAATTTGAATATTTTCGCACGAAATTAAGTATTCTATCAATATTATTGATAGTAATTTTACCTTAATTCCCGGCTCTCCTTTAAAACCCCTTAATTTTTCCACTATCATATATTCTACAAAATAAGGATTATTAATGATTATTTATTAAACTAACGAATTTTTACACTGCATATGTGTAAATTATAATTACTTACGTTCATCAGGGTCCATGTCGTCATCCAATATAGAAGACAGCTTAGCTGGTAATCCCGGAGCACCAGTTTCACCTTTGTCACCTGCGTATGAATAAAATGTTAATAACATTACATGTAAATAAATTTTGATTATTATTTTACGACATGAAAATTTATTACCTAACATATAAGATATTTATAGCGCATGTTATTAGTAGAAGTTGTGCAGTCACGTGAACTATGTGAATTTAATTTTCTTAGTAAACTTTTTATAACTATTCATTGCTGGAATGTAAATAACATTTATAATATTGTACATACATACCTTTGGTACCATTCACACCATGTTTACCATGTGTACCAGGTATCCCAGGCATTCCATTTAAACCTGGGTTACCGACTTCCCCCTTTTCACCATGTTTTCCTTGGGGGCCTGTATGTCCCTGTAAACAATTGTTGTTTATAGTAAAAAAATATTAATACGGGAATCAGAATTGTATGGATTATGCAATAAGTGAATGACTGATTAGATAAAGCATTCGGATGATTTACGACATCCAAAGAAACAAAAAAACATTGAATGTTTGAATAAAAGGAGGATTTAAATACAATATTTAAGACTAAAGATCGGCAAATCTGTCATAATACAAGAACCCATCAATGAAGTCCATATTAAAACTAAGCTAAACTGGTACGGTATTATAATTTTATAACATATAATTTCGTACCAAATCACCTGGCAAGCCACGTTCGCCGATTACACCTTTTTCACCTTTCTCTCCTTTATCACCACGAGGTCCTGGAGGTCCCACAGGTCCAACATCTCCTTTGTCCCCAGGTATTGGAAATTTTTCAGGCTCCTCTATCCGCTTTAAAAAAATTGTCAAATTGTTAGAAAGTATATTGCATTGAATATGTTATATAAAAAATTCACAATTTCTTTAGCTACGTCAACTTACGTCAATTTGAATCAAACTAATTACCTCACATGCCGGTCCAGGTGGTCCAGGGTGACCAGTCTCCCCTCTTGGTCCCGGTGGGCCTATTGGACCGTCTCGTCCTGGTTCACCTTTTAATCCATCTTGACCATCTCTTCCTGGTATGCCATCGTCTCCTTTGTCACCTCTTTCACCAGTAAAGCCAATCGGACCTCTTTCACCTTGTTTTCCAGGTGCTCCCTTAAATAAATACCTTCATCAATATTGTTTCTTTGATGTTTGTTTTATGAAATCGTTCAATATTGTTGAATTGTCATAAGCTGTGAACTAAGACAACCAATAATCATGTCGTAAGTATACTTCCAGCGTATTATTTTCCGCCTTTTATCTACGTATTTTACCGATAAGGTTTTTATTTTTCAATACTTCAAAACACAAATAAAACTTATTTTAAAAATGCTTAAACTGAGTTGTTAAATAAAATTTATCAATTAGATCAAAAGTGTTACTCACTGTTTCACCAGTTGCTCCAGTGTCGCCGTCTTCTCCTCTGTATCCTGGTTCACCTCGTGGTCCTTTCAGTTCAGGCAATTTCTTTATAAGACTCGATACAACTGATTCTGAACAATGACATTCCTGTAATATATTTACTATTCATATACATAAGCATACACAACATTAACAAATAAGTAAGCGTGCAAGCAATAACATAGGTTTATGTAGCTTATTGCTTACTAATCTTTAACATACACGGGATGTATTAAAAAACTTACTCCTTCTTCTCCTCTAGGGCCTTCTTTACCTATTGGTCCTTGGGGTCCTATGGGTCCTTGAGGTCCTTGAGGACCGGTTATAGAAAGTCCTGTGCTTCCCTGTAATGTTAAACTAAAATTACTTTAATAAAAACAAATTACCTAAAAGGTAAATTAACTTAAACTGAAATATCATAACAGGGCATAAATAGCGCAAAATTAAATTAAATTAATTTACATATCAATAACATTTTCATACCTTGTCTCCTTTTTCCCCTTTCATTCCTACTTCTCCCCTTTCTCCTCTAACCCCTATATCCCCCTTTTCACCTTTATCCCCTTTCATATTAACTGCAACATTTTCCTCTCCATCTGAATAATAAAAGGAATAATCAGTAATTTCAATCTTTTTTCAAGAATTATTAGTAGCATATTTTTCATTAACTTACCATCTGTGGTATGATTTTCAAAGTAGTCTTTGAACTGTAAAAAAAAATCAAATTAAACCAAAAAAATCAAAGTTAACATTACATCACCAAATAAGGTTATTTACAAAGAATTCATTAAAAGACTGCAAAGTAACCATTTCTACAGTTTTGTAAGTACTATTTTTTACAAAATATGAATATGACTAGCAACCAGCCCCGGCTTCGCTTCGTAAGCTGACCTTTTTTCTGTCATACATAGGTACCCTTCCCGATGTTCAGTCTGTTATTTAAAACCTTATGAAACGAATGCGCCCGGCCCGCCAGAACATTTTAGCTAAAGAAAGTGACTTTGTGAAGTTTGTTTTATAAAATTCACAGATGCAACTTGAATAAAAACCACCTTCATGCACCACAATTACATGTCACTGCATGCAATCATTTGCACCAACAAAACCTACATCGCCCTCGATACGAGGTTATGTTCTAGATCGTAGCCTTTCTGATTTGATCTTTATGTCATGAGAGCCAGTTACTGGAATAATTTAGTAGATATTTAGTAGCCTATGTAATTTTCTATATTACGTTCTGCATCACTTTTCGTTCCCTCTGTTAGGCTCTTATGTTCTGCTTTGCCACGAAACGGATTAAAATACGGTTTTAATATAATGTCGGTAATTTAACATATTTCGATGAGTTTATGGTTTGTTTCATTATGATGAAAGGTCAGTAAACGTTAATAAAAAAATATTTTGCTTTTTTTGGCTTACATAGTCTAGTTTAACTGTAGATCTCAAAAGGTGATACGTAAAAGTCAGTAGTGGATAGATGGATGTTTATTATAAGATATCTTCAAACCGGCTGAACGGATCTCGGTGAAATTTGGCATACCAAACCATAAATTACCCGAAATGTGTTACATTACCGACATTATATTAAAAACCGTATTTTAATCCATTTCGTGGCATAGCAGAACATAGGAGCCCAACAGAGGAAACGAATAGTGACTTTGTGATTTATATGATATAATAATGATTAAAAAATAGCCAGACTGCAGTTTGGAAGACAAATTTAATTACTTATTTTAATGTAGAAATAGTATTACCAGGATTAAAAAGGAAATTACGTTTGAACTAGAGACCATCTACATAAATATAAAGCCAGATAAATATAAGTGGGTATATCATTGTTTAAAGTACATATTTATTAAAAAATGTACATAATAATTAGTTTACATAGGAAATGGTTAATTACATACGTGCCTGCAAGATATATAGGTATATAAAAGTTAACATATATAAATACCAATAGGTTTTAATATCTTAATATTTATCTACATAATAAGGCAATGCATGACATTGATATAATTTGAAATCTTGACTTACACTCGGGGGAATATACATTTCCTGAAATAAAATTTTGATGATCAAAATCTGTTTATTTATATGCCAATTTATTTAAAAAAACAAATATATACAATTACTCAAAATTATTAAAATAATCTAAAATGATAATAAGAAAAAATCACGAGCACTTTGAACACCATCTTGCAGAAATACTTACCTTATATTTCCTATTATCTAAATTGGATACCTGATATAACCACGTAAGAGCTTGATATAAGCAAGCTGTACAATGTTACGTACATTTTAGAACAATAACAATTTTAGAAATGTTAGCTTTCATATTTGTCTTAGTATATTTTTGATAGACCTTACCTATCATATCTATAAAGTTTTTTTACGCACTTTACGTCTAAACATAGTAAAAAGATAGTCTTACTACTAATACATCAAAGTAAAACAAACCAGATTGTAAAATGTCGGATGTTATATAACTTTAAACTGTCGTGGTTTTTACAAATATAATGTTCGTAAGATACGGATTTCTTACCACAATTGGATTGTTTTAGCTCCCGATATTTCGGCATAGTTGCATGCGCCATATTCACGGGCTGACTATATTGAATATAGATTGAAACAATTCAATTGTGGTAAGAATCCCGTATCTTACGAACGTTTTGTCGAATGTTGTTGATTTTAGCGTAAATAACTTATGATGTTAGATTTTAAAAATCATTGTCACATCACTATTATTATCTTAATAGTATAAATATATGAAAATAACTTACGTCATTGCAAACACTCTCTATATTGTTCGTATCCGGGTATAAAATTATTTTGTCAATAGCCCCCTGAAAAATAAAATAATTTCAAATATCGCATTTGATTATTTTTTTAAATCTAATCATACTAATATTGTAAATGTGAAAGTTTAAATGAATGGATGGATGTTTGTTAGAGCTTGTAGCCTAAACAGAACGGATTTCGATGAAATTTGGCATAGAATTAGAGGATAATCTGGAAGGACACATAGGCTACTCAGTTTTGATTTTTTTTTAATTCCACGCGGACGGATGCGCGGGCGAAAGCTAGTAGTAAAATAATTAAACAATCAATTTATTTTTAACATACTGGAAACCGATAAAAATTTAATTCTAATCCGCTTATCGCACATTTGAAAATTATTAGCTAACGGTAAACTTTAAGGTAATCTTACTGGTTATCAGTAAAGTTTTGTCAAATGAAATTTATAGGCTAGAAATCTTTATCTATACTAATGTCAAAGAGAACAGAATTGTATTTTTGTATAAATTGTAATAACTCAAACACTAGTAGGCCGATTTCAAAAATTCTTGCACCATTAAAAAGCTATATCACTGAGTAACATAGACTATTTTTTTCCTAAGCAAAATCTAGTTACATATTTTACAAAACGTGACCATAAAGTTGGGTAAATAAGGAAAACTCCAGCTTCAAAGTCCTTAGAAACAGAAAATGGTACGTGCAGCAATGCATCTTTGTTATGCTAAGTTTAAGTTGCGTGAAGGCATCTTAATTGCACACTAAATTATTTCCAAAGCAAAGTCGTTTATTTTGTTTAAAAGTAATAATACATTTGTCAGAATAGTTTTGAATTTAACTTGAATCAATAATTTCAATTCGTGGTATGGGTTCTTAAGGAAGGGTCTTTCCAGCAAATGATAGAAAAATAACAGTAAATAGTTTCTGTTGAAGAACATTACAGAATTACTCCATAAAGAGTACTCTTAGTATCTGAAATACATACCTTCACTGTAAGATTATAATTGTTGTTCTAATTCGGAGCTTATAATATACGAAGACATTAAGTAAATTGAACCAAACACGAGCTAAATTGTATGAACAATAATTTAGAAACACGTGTTACATTCCAGTATGAAAACATAGCGGGGTGTTAGCTTAATGAACTCATAACGGCTGATTTAATATCGGGGTTAGAACGCATTAGCGTTTGTATGTTAGGTATGAAATGCTATTTAGCGGTCTTTACTTTGTTAGTCGACGATAACGACGTGATTCATAGCTTAGGTGGTAGCTAGTTTCTAGCGACTGTAACAATTAGCCTCTGATATTTATGTTTATGCTTATTCTAAATATATCTACAGATGTTTGTTATTGATCTAACTTTTTATCGAAGGTTAAGCTACAAGTGTCGTTTCATTTTTTTCTAGCTTGTATCTTAGAATGTACTCAAAGTCTATTATCAACCTATTCAATACATAAAGATAGCTATGATATAGATATATCAAAGCATTTATATGTGCGATATAATTAATATTTTTGTGTTACAATTGCGGTGCTTTTGTAACAGAAGTATCGCGTACAAAAAGATGTAAAATTGCAAACAAAACGTGAAAATCCTAATGAGGCCGCATGTGGAATTAACAAAGTTACTTTGGGAAATTAATACAAACCCGCTCGTGCCGTAGAATTTAATCTACTCGTGTTTAGCGAAATCCCTACTTGCGCGAGTCGCCTACTAATTCAGCCTTGCAGCGACAGCTAATTTCGAGCCGTTACTTGCACTCTTGTGCAATACAAGAAGGAGTTTGTTGGAAAGTATTCTGAAGGTAAAATGAAAATAATTTGAACAAATTTTATTGTGTAACAATAAAAGATCTATCAGGAGTCGTTTGATAACACTTGAAGGATTTTTTTTAACTTACTGAAAAGTGTTAAAAAAGTTATTGTGTGCCCTGGTAATAAAAATCTTGAACACTACCAGCTTAAAACAGATGTAGGTTGCATAAAGGTTTAAAAAAATATGTTGTGTTTGTAGGTGCCCTTATTTGTACAGTTCATCAATTTTGTTTTGTCTTTGATTATTATTGTTTTTCTTTCTGACTGTAAATATTAGTATGTTCATGCTTTAGACATAATTATTATAATACATGTCACTTACTCTGAATGGATTGCTATCCTCAACTCCGGACTGTGCAATATAAATCCAATCGTCACTCGAAAAATAAACATCATCCATTTTTTCTTTTGGTTCCAATGATTTAGTCGGTAAACATTTGGTATAAATTGTTATTGTTTTATCAAAGACTATGTAAATATCCACCCAGTTTATACTCAAGTCTTCATATACGTCGAAATTAACGTTTTCTTTAAGTCCAACGCCATCCACATTCACTTCATAAATATCGGTAGTTTGTGGTGTAATACACAAACTTAGCTTTATCACATTTTCTAAATTTTTTATAGCGAACACGCATGAAAAATCATTTACATCGAATTTAACCCTAACATTTAAAATGAAAGGACTAGAAAGCTTGAGGTTATTTAATGTTGTATTGCTGATAGGAGACAGGACTCTGCTTTCGTTGTCAAATTTGAATGCGGTGTTGCCGCCTGGTCCATCTACAAAGCTTATTCTCTCTGAATCCGTAGTATACTTTTCATATACTTTAATAACATCTTGAAGAATGTTGTATTCTGCAAAAAAACAATTACTTTACATTGTATTTCTTTTTTTGGAAATTAATCTTTGCAAAACTGATTTAATTCTCTGTCAGTCTTACTAGTGTGTGTTACGTCTTCTGTTATTTTTAAAGTTGTTACTTTATTTTTTAAAACCGTAAATATCTTCATTAACACGAACCTCTTATCAATTGCCATTTGTCAAAGTGTAAGTAATAAATTCTGTGGTTTGTAACGGTATTACATTGCACATTCATCTACTTGTACAAGTTACTTGACTAACTAACCTCATTTTTATGATTAATTAACGATGAGAAACAATATTTACACTATCAAAATACTTCTATAAAACACTATTTCCCTTTAATTTTCATTGAAAAAACAGACAACATTGTTGCAATACAAATGTCACGGCACTTGTATAGAACTGTTTTTAAAATACTGAACAAAGCAAACTAAAGGCAGCATTGTGAGGCACACTAACAGCTGCTTCCACTAATCTTGATTGAAGCTTAATGGCAGAGGTCACGGTAGCTTTTTACATGCAAGTCAGCAACAAAAAATAAGTTGTAACCAACAAAGAAGGCTGTAATTTGATCAGCCATTTCTCTGGCTGAATTTAGCAATTTAAAATTCAAATCACAACAAATTTAGTTATTTTGCATGACTGAAGCAGTTGCCTTCTGTTGGAAATAAAGGAAATTTCTTTTATATTGCCTTTTAGAGTAAGTTACGTTGCCTGTTACAAAAATTTTGATAAATTATGTTAAATTAAATAAGAATGTAGCTGAAATAATGTGTGTTACCAGATAATAATTCGGCTTCTAATCTCTTGATGAGCAGAAACACGACAATGTAACTGAAACAAAAGAATACATTAAATAACTTAAAAAAATTATGAAATAGTAAGTAAGTAGTTACTAAATAAATTCTCCAAATACTGTTTAATTCTAACAAAATCTTTACAATTAATCCTTTATAGTAAAGTTAAGTTAGTTAGAGGCAATATAACTGGAGGCATGCGATTTAACGTAACACTCCCAGCGGCGTTTCGAGCCGGAGCGCTCTTGTACGAGCACAACTGCTAATTTTGAAAGTGTAACGATTTGTTAAACGGCCCATAAGGATGCCTACAAACGCTTTTCGTTACAATACAATTTGTATTCAAAACTTTAGTACCGAAACATTTTTTAGTTACAACTTTTTGAATTTAGAGAAAAGGCGTCATTTTAATTTAGGATTGTTAATTTTTGACAACGCCTATTTGACGTTTTACTTAATTTTGATCACTTTATTTGTGGGCGACGGTTAGTTATATTATAATTCAATACAATAACGGGCGAATACTGAAATTAGTCATAAACAATTCGCTTCCTAAGTGCCTTATATAATCTGGTAGACGTCAAAATGTTAATGGAATGTTCCATCTATAAATGGCGTTTCAAAATTCGGCCGTACGTGTGGTATGATAAAAATAGTTAAGGAAAGGAAACAAAAATATATAACGTCAAGCAAATTTATCTATCACAGTGTTACTAAACGTAAAGCAATTCATGGAGTTTCATAGAAATCAGTATAAAAAGCTCATAAAACTAGTAGTAATTAAATGTGGCATCATAAAGTTTAATTTTGTCTTTGACTGTAGCTTGTGTCATCCATATTGTCTCAAAATAGTTTGCAATAGCCAACATTCAGGGAATACTTAGATTGTTTAATTTACTGCACAGATTTATAGAAACAATCTCACGGAACGCTACATTTCATAACTAATCATTCGTATTATTTAGGCGTTTGTAATTAGGTTTGTAGTTCAGATGTCTCTAAATGTAGTCCAGGAAGCGTGGAGCAGCTGCATTGGACAATTTTATTCTGCATTTGCCTAACAGTTATTAATAAATACAAGAGTAACACGGTAAGATGAGTTTAGAACAGTACACGAATAGAAATTACACGCGCTGTGATAATAAAACATTGGGATCATATTTGAAAAGAAAAAAATGTTACAGCTATCATACTAACATTACGAATATATATATTCGAAAGTTTAGATGGATGTTTGTTAGAGTTTGTAGCCTAAACGGCTGAACAGATTTCTATGAAATTTGGTAGTAGATATAGAGGACATTCTGGAAGAACACATAGGATACTTTTGTTTTTCTTTTAATTCCACGCGGACGAAGTCGCGGGCGAATGCTAGTATTTTTATAACTGTTGAATGGGCTGCGAAACAATCGACAATCGCACTACGGTTGTGCGATTGTTTAGTCAAGATATTGAATATCGTTAGTTCCAAGTTCATGACTGCGCAGATCTTTGGAGGTTGGCCAAGTTTTGATGACAGTATAAAATTCACTATAAGATATTTTTGAAAAACCATTAAAGCGTTTCGCAGAATTTTTTAGCAATGATACAACTTGTAATATATAGGTAAAAATAAAAAAAATGTTTTTAACTTTTAAAATTACTAGCTTTTGCCCTCGACGCCGTCCGCGTGGATATATAATAAAAAAAATCAAAAGTAAGTAGCCTATATGTTCTTCCACTCTCTACATTTATGCGAAAGTTCATTCAGCTGTTTAGGCTACAAAGTCTAACAAACATCTATCCATCCATCTAAACTTTCGCATTTATCTTACTAATATTATAAATGCGAAAGTTTAGATAGATGGATGGATGGATGGATGGATGGATGGATGGATGGATGGATGGATGAATGGATGGATGGATGGATGGATGGATGGATGGATGGATGGATGGATGTTTGTTAGCGTTTGTAGCCTGAACGGCTGAACGGATCTCTATTAAATTTGGCACAGGTTTAGAGCATAGCCTGGGAGAACACATAGGCTACTTTTTATCCCGGTAATAGTTACGGTTCCCGTGGGATTCATTAATTTAGATTTTTAATGTTTACTCGATCATTCTGCAACGGTTCAACATATCTTATTGAAATTTGGCACAAATATAAAACAAAGTCTGGAGTACACATGGGATAAGATTCATCCCCGAGAAATGTCCGGTTCCCGAGGGATACGTAACTTTTTGTAATTCATATAGTTTATATGTTTTCTAATACTACGCGGACGAAGTCGCGGGTAATAGCTCGTAACATTATAAAGTATGAAGTATAACTAGTATGATTAGATTAAAGATAATTAAATTGTTGAATTGGGAGGAAGTTAAAGTGAATATTTAGTTAGTATAACATTTTGAAACAAGCAATTCAAATCCATATTAAAAAGGAAGTTAATACCTTTCCAGTAATTATATATAATTTCAATCATCCAATAGATTAGGGCCAACAAACTAATGACGACCTCGATTCTAACAATTTCCCATGTTATCACACTGAGCAAGTAGAGACTGAACTTTCACTTGCATTTGTGGGGCAGATGTTTAGCGTAGTTAAATTTCTGGAAATCTACGTGAGGTCGGCGTCATCACTTACGTCACACGCCCGTGGTTGACATTGAGGCAAAGTTAACTGTACACTTGGTACGTACTTATTGCTTTAACTTATGGGCTATTTTAGCGTAACTTAGGTGATCGGATATTTTGTTTTATAAATGACACATTGCAAGATTGATGGACTTGCCCATGAATGAAGTGAGCAAATAGATCGTTCGGATTTAGCTGGAAGATAAATCTTTCGGATAGGTTGGACGCTGGCGCCATAATATATTACGGATAGAATTTTAATATGTGTATACTTAAAAATACAGAAGTCAAAATTCTTGTGATAATTTTATTGTGAAATTCTAAAAAAAGTTAAATAAAAATAGGAATTTCATGTTTTATTGACAACACGTAATAAAATATGGAAATTCTGTTGGTAGCTACTTTATCTAGAATTATTTATCTTACAGGTTTTGTACGTCATTGGTCATTTTGAATATCTTTTAACGTAAAACCACAGAAGTTATCTGCTCATCACAATATCATCAACTCTTTCTTAAAACTATTGTATAAAAATGTATAATGTATTTTGCATACATTGGCTCATATTGTTATTGAGTAATCCAATTTCCTAACATACAAACATAAGGTTATTGCAATGTTGTTTCTAGTAATCAATTTATTGCGACATCAAAATTCATCATAGAACCAACACGAAAATTACTTAACACTATGGTACTATCGAGAATGTTCACAGTATTGTGCTAAATTGTCACCATAATTCAACGGCCGATATCACTGATCTGTATAAATGGATGGGTCTGGAAACGTTAATTCTATCTCAAATATTAGTACCAATTCTCGCCACCTATTAACCAAGTAATGCGACGTTCAGTGCCAAGATGGAAACAATGAAATAGGCACAAAATACCACGTCTTATGACCCTTTATTTTTAGGAGTTTGTACATAAAAAAATACTAAGTAGCCCTTTCAGACTGTTCTACTTCTGTGCTAATTTTCACCGTGATCCGCCGTCGTCTGGTCTCCAGAATATAATCTTTTATCCAAACAATCGCATTTATAATATAAAATTAAGATAGATTTAGGGCCTCTCCCACCACTGGCTGACAGAAGCTTAGTCAGCTTAAAAATGACGTCACTGACAGATAAAGGAACAACATCCGTTATTTTCATAACATATTTTACACGTTCGATTGTTTTACCAAATTACAATTGGTGGGATAGGCCCTAAATATGTTAAATGATATTTTTAAGCAAATAAATAATTATATACAAGGATCGATCAATACACATAATGCTTTAAAAAAACATGTAGTTCATCTATTTGTTAAGAACTAAGTAACGCGTTAGTTACGTAAACCGGCTTATCTCGATTAGACGTGATATTTAACAGACAGCCCCTCCATGATTACTTTGGTTAATGAAATAACGTAGTATATAGGATAGATTTTATAAATGTCGGAAGACGCTTGTTTGAATTAAGACAGTTCAGGGCCTGTCCCACCAAAATCAGATATTTCCATTACATATTTCGCACGTTTGATTGTTATTAGATAATTTACAATTTGGTGGGACAGGCCCTAAGACTTATAACCAGATTTTATCAAAGTGTTAATGTCATCTATCAATTTTAAAATTCGGTAGTATAGTATTAGTTATATTGTAAACTATCCATAAATTGTAATATCACTAATAGACGATTAACTTTAATAGTAAAAGAGTATAGAAATAAATTACATTACAATTTATCTAGTATTATAATGAAATATAAAATCAATTGTTGCGAACGAGGTTTTTCTGAACTTATAAACGAACCTTTAGAGCGTCCGCACACCTGAAACTAAACTATCGGACAACTGTTTAGTCTCGGTTTGATTCCTGAGTTTATCCATACCTCCGTAGGTGCGCACATTCATTATTCGATTTATCTCTCTCACTACTCGAACACTAGTTGATTATTAATTGTGCTAATTTACAGTTGAATGGGCTGAAACAATCGACAATCGCACAACAGTTTTGCTATAGTGTGACAAAGGTGTGCCCCCGCTCTTAAAATATTTGTTGAAATATTTTAGTCCTAAGGAATTAAAGTACCGCTCATTCATAACCATAAATACCTACATAACCGACAATGACGTGGCCGGCTTCCGTTATTATCTATAAATGCGTTCACATCCTAACTAATGTTATTTATATTATTTTCGTATGTTTGCAGCTATTTAATATGTCTTGGAATTAAAAAAAGGCAAACTACGTTTCAAAACTACGTAATTTGAGTCTTAACAAATTAAAACTATGGTTAACCTAATACAAATGAATCATTAGTTAACGATAAAATGAATGGGAACTTCAGAAACCCATCATAACACTTGGGACCTGTCCCACCACTGGCTGATAGAGGCTCAGATAGCTTAAAAATGACGTCACTGTGAGATAAGAGA